AGAGCGAAACTCCATCTCAAAAAAAAAAAAAAAAAATTAAATAAATAAATAAATAAAAATGTATCAAGACCGTTGTAGATAAAGAAAGGCAGATTTATTAGAGAAGGTATGAAAATATGTTGCAAGGAAGCAATGGGCAAACCAGCAGAAGAGAAGCTGACTGCCAGGAGACAAAGGCTTGGCGGAGATTTTATTGGATGGCTTTGGGTTGCAGGGTGCTACATGCAGTACTGCTAATGCTAAGGTTTCAGGGAGCTAACTTGCATTTTTTGTATTAGCCGAGGTTCTGGTGATAGCTGGGCACAGGAAGATTGTGAGTTATTTGTGCAGGAGGGCTATATGTCCTGGACCATGAAGAAATGCAGACTTATAGCTTATTTGCCTTTTTTTGTTGTTGTTTTTCCTTTCTCCCACCATGTCGTTTTTGTTAATTGAGACTCCACAGTGATCAGTGATTTCAGGTACCAACAGTGGAGTTAGATTCTTGAGTTAAGGTTCTGGCTTTGCCACTTGGCATTTGTGTGGTCTTGAGCAAGTTCCTTGGCTTTTTTCTAAGCCCAGTTTCCTTGACTACAAAAAAGGTTAGTAACAGGATAGCTCTCTGATATGGCTTGGCTCTGTGTCCCCAGCTAAATCTCATCTAGTAGCTCCCATAATTCCCATGTGTTGTAGGAGGAACCCAGTGGGAGATGGTTGAATCATGGGAGCAGTCTTTCTGGTGCTGTTCTTGTGATAGTGAATGGGTCTACAAGATCCGATGGTTTTAAAAATGAGAGTTTCTCTGGACATGCTCTCTTCTCTTGTCTGCCACTATGTGAGACGTGCCTTTCACTTTCTACCATGATTGTGAGGCTTCCCCAGCCACATGGAACTGTAAATCCAATAAACTTCTTTCTTTTGTAAATTGCCCAGTCTTGGATATGTCTTTATCAGCAGGGTGAAAACAGACTAGTCATCTTCCGACATTAAGAAAAACAACAATATTCTAAATAAAATGATGTGGGCAAAGCACTTGATGCAAAGTAAGTCCTCCATAGATTTTAACTATTTTATGGTTATGTGAATTATCACTATTAGGTTGTCTGATTATTCGTAACCTTCCCTATTCTGGGCAGGCTCCTTGGCTTTTTATTCTTATTTCCCAAGTTGAATGCAGGCAGATCTCTGATTTCACACAAAATGCATTCATCTTCTAGCCTTGTATGTGTGTGGATCAGGTTGGGCATTTATTCTCCTAGAGGTCAAAAAACATAGAATTCAACCTGCAGTATGAAAACCCAAATTTGATATGAGAAAGGAAGCTTAAATTTATCAGAGATTAATAGATGAAAGTGTAAGTTGTTTAAAAGGCAAATGTAAAAAGTTGAGAACTGTCCTTCTCTGGAGTGAACATCTGCTTAGTAGATTGACACACTTGTGAGACCAGCTAAATATTAGCTACTTTTTTTTTAGAGATAGAATCTTGCTCTGTGTGTGCCACCATGCCTGGCTAATTTTTATTTTAGAGATGAGAGTCTCACTATGTTGATTGGGCTAGTCTCAAACTCCTGACATCGAGCCATTCTTCTGCCTCAGCCACCCAAGTAGCTGGGATTACATGCGCAAGCTACGGCACTCAGCTTAGTACTAGTTACTTCTAGGTTTACGGGGAATTTTTCTAGTGATTCTGGGAAACCTACGTATTTGTGCTTTTGTTTTTTTCAGTGTGACAGAGACAGTTACTTGCCCCAATATTTATCGATTTTTTT